TGCCACGTACATCCTCGTGGAGGCAGTGCTTCCTCACTCCCGTGGGCCTTGACCTCTGATGAGCTGTCGGCCTTATCTAAAACATAAAACTTCTGCTCTGGTTTCTGTGGCTTTCCTGCATAGCTTTTGTAATACGGAGCTACAAATTAGCAGCTGGTTGGTGATGATTTTGGGGGTAGAGGCTGAAACTGCTATCATGCTTCATCTGCTTCCTGCACGGTTGACCCTACTGAGAACACCCCTTGTCCCTCAGACATGCTGCCTGCAGTAATTTTAAAAACATGAAATTGTATCTTGGATGTTTAAGCAGTTCTGTCGTATGTTCTTGTAGAATTATAATGTAGACAGAGCCTGCTTCCATATTTTCTTTAATGCTAATGTTACTATTCTTGCTACCTCCTGTCTAGTATCTTTTATGCTGTTCTGGTGATGTATTGTTGAGTCCATACCTACTGTCTCAATCCTGTTCTGCAGTAGTATCTCATGGAATTCTCCTGATAATGCATCTTGTTTCTGTTATGCCAATACACGGAAGAGTTTTGACTGCTTTACACAATACAATTAAAATACAGCAAAATTTCACGCTACATCTGTTGTTATGTAATTAAGTGGTTAATCCAGTTAAATCAAGCAAAATACAAAAAAACCCCCACATCTGAACCACAAAAGCCAAACCACACCCTTTGTGGAAAATTTAGGAGAGCATTTCACGTGTCAGTATATATCTGATATTTCCCTTTCTGGCATCTATTCTTTCCTGAGCCTAGCTCCACTCCTTATGACCTAAAAGTACCGCAAGAGGCAACAAAATATCCATTAAAAATTATGTGAATGCTTTTTTTTTTTTTGCTTTTCCCTCCCATTTTCACACACTTTCTCCCTATTTTGGGGTATAGTTTGCTTAGTCACACTTGCTATATAATTATAATATTTACTGTTATAATTTAATAATAATGGTACTAATATTTTTCACATGCCAGGTGTAGTGATAACAAATTCAGATGTATATTGATTTGGGTGCGTGTGTGCATATGTGGATTTTTCATTGTATGATGCACGAAGCAAAACAAGGAGAAACGAAAGTGAAGTGGGGAAATAGAAATGGTCTTCTTTTTGAGGATAAATCTAATCATTTTCTTTAGGTAATTTTTTTCTTCTTCTTTTTTTTTTTCTTTTAGACAAATGAAAATGAGACCTGGAGAGGTCCTTATAGACTGCTTAGAGTCTGTTGAAGATACCAAAGGAAACAATGGAGACAGAGGTAACTGCAAACTCAGGGAAATTGTAAACTTTCTAATATTCAACCTGTGTAGGTTCATGAAAGCCCTGTCTGGTTTCCATTGAACTCAGTATCAGTGTTCTGTTGGAGAAAATAGATTCTACCTATTTCACGCATCTCTCCCCTTGGAGTATTTTCAAATAGGATCTCCTTTTCAAAGTTATAGGAAGGTAATAATCTTGTCTCAGAATTTCTTTAGAACTGAAAGCCTTGTAAGAATAATCCATTTATAAACATTGTGGTGCTTTTTTACTGTATTCCTCTTTAATGCTTAGTTTTTCCTAACCTGGTTTAAACTGAATCAGTAAGGAATATATATACAGTGTGCAAGGGCATGAAGCTGCCAGCAAGCTGCAATGACCCTTGCTGGGGCTGGTTGTGCTGCTGTACAGCGTACAGAATTGAAGAAATTTGCACGTGACATAAAGGGGTGAGGTTATTCATGAAGACAGCTGCGATAGTTAACTCACTGCCTTCCCTTTCTCCTCCCCAGAGCACTTCTGCACTGATTGTGTCTCTGCATTTTTACCATAGGCAGGTGGACGTGAAATCAATAACTGTTATTGCTTTGGTTTTGAGGAATGCTGGTATATATATTTGAAGTTGTTTCATTTGTTCCTTGCTGGATTTTTCTCTCCTAGCCTTAAAAAAAAAAAAAAAAAAAAAAAAGTTTAGTGATTTTTCTCCTGGGGTGTCCTGTGCTTTTTTTCTTTTTCTTATCAAGGAGATGGAATATTCTGGTGTTTGAAAACTAGAGGTAAATACATACCACAGAATGGAACATTTAATTTAATGGAAGTTATTCAGATTAAAAATATCTACACTTTTTATTTCCAGGTAGACTGCTTGTGACAAATCTGAGGATTATTTGGCGCTCATTGTCATTGCCCAGAGTCAATCTTTGTAAGTATAATCTCCTGTTAAACAACTGCAAATTTTGCGTTTCCTTTGTGGTGGCATGCTATTCTTTCACAATAGTATAGATTACAGTACAGAATAGTAAAGTATAGTTCTATTGCTCTTTAAAGGCTGAAATAAACTGTTATTAATTAATGTATTTGTAACATAGGAGCTGTTAAAATAATTCATGGTAAAATATTAATATTCAATATTAATTTATCAGGACGGAAGTTGAAGAGTACTTCAGATGTATTTTTCATTTGGCCTGTGTGGTATTAATTCATTTTTCTAGGAAGAAACAAAAGTTTGAGTTTCTTCACGCCTTGCTTTTACTTGTACCTCTTATTGCTACCTATTTATTCACATTTTGTATTGCCCTACAGTTTTATTCCCGACAACTACTCGCCTTTCCAAATTTACTATTGTAAGCTCTGAATAAGCTTCTAATTTTAATTGTATGAGTAGCTAGCAGGTCTACTTATATTTTATTTAGTTTAATTTGCTGAAACAAGGGTAGGACACATTTACTTTGTACCAAATTATTTCCAGTGCTCAGTTCCCAATAGCCAATCAATATTGTATTCTGTTCGTAATGTAAAAAATAAACTTATGCCCTCTGCCTTCTTGCTCTTCTGCATTTGCTGTCTCATACATGCACACACATACAAGTGTGTGCACACACTGCTACTTTTATATGTATTTATAAAATAAATAAAAAAAATAGTTGTCTGTGTATTTAAGTTTTAAATTAGCACTTTTTAGAGGAGATCACAAAGAAACCTATGGAGTAGTTCAGTCCTGCAGAACCTCAAGGAAGTCTAACCTATGGCTTTTAGAGTTTAAAATACTCTCTAGCTTTCAAGATAATGCACTATTTCTTACATTAACGAAATATATAGACAAAAAAATAATATTTTATTGGATGCCATTTTTGACCATTGCTGTTTCTTTTAGTTTTAGAAAATTCTCACAAGCAACCTAGGAAATAGTCTTTTTCTGGTATTTTCATAAGTATTAATTCCTTGAAGACTGAATATTCTTATCTACATAACTGCTGCCACATCTGAGCTTTTGGAGAAGCAGAATCTTCCCAAAGCAAATTCTAGTTCTCCTTTAATAATTTACACAACCTGGCTGTGCTACTATTGGTATCAGTAGCAGGATTGTCATTGATGTTCAGATTTAGCCCAGCACCATTTTAGTGCATCCGTTTATTTTAGGAAGAGGCAGAATGAAATTTATAACTGTTTTCTCCTCTTATTCTTTTTGTTTCTTTTCCATTTATACTTTACATTTTGCTGCTTTTATTCTTTGTCATCTCATTTGCTCTTCTTCTACAAAGTACTATATCGATGTAGAAAGTTTTATTTATAAGGGTAAAATTTATGGGCAACATCACGATGAAACAGACCTTCTGAGGCAACAGTCAAACACTGAAACAAGGGAAATTCTAATTAGATATTAGGAGAAAAACATTCACAATGATGGCAGTCAAACAGTGGAACAGGTTCCCAGCGTGGCTGTGGAATCTCCTTCTCTGGAAATATTCAGAACTCAATTGGACAGTGCCCTGAGCAGCCAGATGGAGTTAGTCCTGCTTTGAGAAGAGCATTGGACCAGACAACCTCCCAAGGTCCTTTCCAGCTTAAATTAGTCTTCAATTTTGTGATGAGGGCCCAGACCATTAACCATAAGGTGTAATTCTCACAAATAGCATCCAAAGCTGTGCTACAAAATTCAATATTGTACTTGGTAATTTTGACTATTATTTTTTCTTGTTCTCAAAACTGTTCTTTTTTTTTTCCTTCCCTAACTTTTAGCTGTTGGTTACAACTGCATTATAAATATAACTACAAGAACTGCCAACTCTGTAAGTTTCAAAAAACACTTTTTAAAATAATAAAAGAAGCTGTAACTCATTCTGTATACTTCTTGCGCTATATCAACAATAATCTGAAGGTTTACTTGCAAGAACAGTAATAGAATAGTAATGAAAGTTTAGTTCTAAAAGTTGAGAGTTTTACATTTGTGTGTTTTTAGGCAGTAAAACTCATGTACTCACACTGGTGATTCTTCTCCCCTCTAGGTAAGTCAAGCACATGTTGGCTCATGGTGTCTAAATTTAAAAAGGTCTAGAGAGGCACTATTTTTGTGCAAAAAAGCTCTCAAGTACGTTGCCTGAATTACATGCAACCGTGAAACCATTTGTTTGGCCTGCAGCAAAGAACTAGCAGGGAAATTATGTAGATTCCCCAGGCAGCCGCATGGGAACAAAGCCTAAAATACTGTTTTAGTCATGATATTGCAAATGCATAGTAGGCGGGCTTCATTAGTTCTAATGTTGATTGGAGTGCTAGTTTCTCAAAAAAAAAAAAGAGTTCAGTTGACGACAAGAGTAAATCAGTGGTAGAATTAGGAGTATACCTTCAGATATACTATTTGAAACAAGAATTTAGAAAATATATGAAGATTATTTATTGCCTGTGCAGTAAAGCTACTGTATTGTCAAAATGTTACATTTCATTTTTTCCTTACAGAAATTACGAGGGCAGACAGAAGCTCTGTATATATTGACTAAATGTAACAATACACGGTTTGAGTTCATATTTACCAACGTTGTCCCCGGGAGTCCCAGACTCTTCACTTCAGTTATTGCTGTACACAGGTGGCATATTTAAAATAGTGCTTGTTCATTACAAAATTCAATTAATCAAATATGTGTGATTACTACTGCTGATGGACTGAGTATATAACTGCCCATATTTAACATTCAGAAAACTTCCTCTTCCCAAAAGAGGAGAACACAATCTCTGGAAGGAAGGGAGAGAATGATCACAAATTGTAGTAGGTAACTGTGCATAATGAAACTGAATATGTATTAATACCAATCATTGATTGCAGTTTATACACCTTGTGTGTATAAACTATCTGAACAAATAAAAGTACAAAAGAGCTAATTACAGTGTGCATATTCTATCTGTAATTTCTGTCTATAATGATTTCCCATAATTTTGGACCTTGTAATGGAAATGAAGAGTTAAATTCTGGTCAAAAGTCTAAATGACTACAAAACAGTGGATGTTTCCCATCTAAAGATAAGTCATCTGAATAAATGTGTGCGTAATACATCACCATAGGTCTCTATTTAAGAGCTATGGAATACATGAACAATACAAGAGATCAAAGCAGATGTAAAAAACCAAAACTTTTAAGTTTAAAGAGAACTTCATTAAGGAAAGCTGAAATATAATGGTTTTCATTGATGAAGTTTTAACAGTACTCTCATTTTTGTGCAACATGGTGGTAAGAAAAGTTGAAAATTACAACACTTCATATTGGTGTTAAACAGTAAAGCTAATAGAAAACACTGAAATGGTAACGTGTGTGTTTTATTTTTTGCAGAGCTTATGAAACTTCTAAAATGTATCGTGATCTGAAGCTGAGAAGTGCATTGATTCAAAACAAGCAACTGAGATTATTACCACAAGAACAAATATATGATAAAATCAATGGAGTTTGGAATTTGTCAAGTGACCAGGTATAGTGAAAAATGAGACTGTTGACTACAGCCAAGTTAAAATGTTTTGGCTTTCATCTAGCAATTGTACTACTGGAGTTTCATATCCTCAAAGGAATTACCCTTAATTCAGTTCATCAGCTGATGCTTGTGGAGTAGCTGATCCCATATATTTGCCACTCAGTACAACAAAGTCTCTTCTTGGCAACCTGAAGTCTATGTGACTCTGCTAATATGCAAGGAACTGGATACACGGTTCCTGTTAAAAAGATAGGAGTCTAAAGTTCTGTATCATCCTGAAAGACAATCATGTTGTTTCCAAAGTGCTCTGCTGAATATTTGTATGTTTATGTGCAGCTTTCACTACAGTGTAAGACTGTATTTGATTATCAGAAATAGAAAATATCGGAATAGGAATCTATGTCTTAAAACATGGAAGAATAAAGACTTTAAGGAAAAATAGAAAACATTTCTATTATTTTACAGGGCAAGTATTTCCCAGAGCTATGAAACAAAATGGGAACTGTCATTTCTGTCTCTGCAATTTTAGTCCAGAATGGAAATAGGATCCATCCTCACAAGCTAAAAAGTTCTTTCCTCTACATTCCCTTGGCACACATCTCCACAATTGCCTAAGTTTAACCCACATGCCATTATAATTACACTATACGCCAATTCCAGATCTGTACAGTTAAGAACACTCTCAGATGCTTCATGTACTCCCATGAGGTCTGCTGTGCTGTGATTTGATCCTGCTTTGCTGCAGTAATAGGTACTCCCAGCTATTTTCACCACTTGGGTGTTGTATCCTTTAAAGATTGGATCTTGCTTCCTTGCATTTCAACTGGTTTTGGTGGGAAAGAATCAGGCTTTTATTGAATTAAATGTGAAGCTGTATCCTTGTGTTTAAATGGATAGCAGTAATCATCGTGTTTGGAAAAAAAATTCTCAATACTTCAAAGCAGTTTTAACATACCTTTTCTTTAATAGGGAAACTTGGGAACATTTTTTATTACTAATGTGAGAATAGTTTGGCATGCAAATATGAATGACAGCTTTAATGTCAGCATACCATATCTACAAATTGTAAGTATCTTCAAACAACTATTTTCAAAATTAAATGGCATAAGTTCAAGTCTTCAGTTAAAACTCCCAGCTCATCAAAATTAGTATTTCATGTGCCATAGTCCAGGAGGAACTTCGTCTTACCAGCATCGACCACAGGGTAGATTTTTTTTTTTTCTTCTGTCCAGATTAATTGGGGGCTTTTATAGGCAGGTACAGATACTGAAAATGGCTTGTATTTCCAATTTTCAAACTATTTACTATGATGCTTCCTGCCACCTACACTGTGATTAATGATCTGTGAACCTCAAGTTCAGAAATGAACTGTTACCACTGTTACTGCTTCTGATAAAAACACTTTTCCCTGAGGTTCAGGGGTTCAGATTTGTAATGGTAAACAGGAGGGAATGCTGGTAAGCCAAGCTTCCAGAACGAGTAATTGTAATTAGTACAGTGTTAAAAAAAAAAAAAAATATATATATATGTATATAAAGCAGATTTTTGTCAAATAATTCCATAATTTTTAACAAACAGTTTTTACCTCTTTACCATTAGCGTTCAATAAAAATAAGAGATTCAAAGTTTGGCTTGGCACTTGTGATAGAGAGTTCCCAGCAGGTAAGAAGCTTTAATAGCCTTTTTTCATTGGTTACGTTTTTATATATAATAGTTCTCTAATTCTGAAATGTTACAGGGCTATTTTTAAAGTATTTAGAATGTTCCTTCTGTGTGGCCTTTTGAACACAACTTTTTAAAAGTCCTCTTTGCACTGCTTAAAATGTCTGTATGTCAAGGTCAGTATAGCTATTGTGAGTTATGGTTTATCTAAGCAAAGCAACAATAGGCCAGCATGACTAGTGAAAATAAAGTAATATAACCATTAAAACAGTGTCTTCTGACAGATTATCTTTGGGATCTAATTACTTCTATACTTAATTAAGACCACTATTTTTAATCTTTTTCACTTGTGTATGCGTTTTGTTGTAAGAGACAAAATTATTTTTCTTCAATTTGACCTTAATCAGAAATGCTTTTAATGGCGATTTTTTTTTAAGTTCAACTAACTTTATTTACTCTATCTGAAAGCTTCTTTAATAACAACATCAACATCTAACAGGCTAAACATTTGCTGAGTAGCTAGGAATAATTAGTATCATTGCAGAATTTCTCCTACCCTTGTTTGCTTTTGGTTTTCTGTGTAAGTTTATTCCTCATTTATATAATGAGCTAACAGTTAAAAGCTTATTTACCTCACAGAGAAACATTGTCATTGTTTTTATTTCACCCATGGTTTAAGTGGTGGAATGAAAATAAGATCATACCAAAACACAGATAATGTTTTATCAGCAAACTGAAATTTGCTAATATTAAACTGCAGATCCCTAACAAGAGGAAAAAGGTGTTTAATTAATAAGCTACAATAATAAATACATGTTTTCCTTTTTCTCTGTTATATAGAGTGGAGGATACGTACTTGGTTTTAAAATAGACCCTGTGGAGAAACTACAGGAGGCAGTGAAGGAAATTAATTCTCTTCACAGAGTTTATTCAGCTAACCCTATATTTGGAGTAGATTATGAAATGGAAGAAAAGGTACTCTACTCATTTATTTTAAATTAGATACAATATGGTGTTAACAGCAGTAATAAAAATATAGTAAACAGATATGTGGATTTACTTACTTATGAGTTTAATTTGCAGCCTCAACCTCTTGAAGACCTAACAGTGGAGCAGGTTCAAGATGATGTGGAAATAGAATCTGATGAACATACAGATGCTTTTGTGGTAAGTTGATCCACAGAAAATAATAAAAAAAAAAATTCTTGTTTGGTTATTCAAAAGTAAGCAATGTACAGCTGTAATCCTCTATTAAAGATAAGCTATAACCGAACTTTTTGTATTTAAAACACACCTACACGTCTTTCATTCAAAATCCTGATTACTACAGGAATTTATTCTGTGTGTGGATTTTTAACTTAAGAACAAACTATAATTCAAAATAAATAGTAGTAGATATTTAAAGTAATAGTTGTATATAGTTTCTCAAGACATTAAGATCAGGAATAGCTTGAAAACCAGCAATATAGTATAATCAAATACATTATATGAAAACAAGTCTTCTTTCTCTTGGAGCAGATGAATAGATGGTGATATCTGTACGCTCAACATTCATCTAAGATTCAAACTTGAAAGATTTTTAGAAAGGCAGCAATAATTTTGAGACACTTCTGACAACCTTTGCACTCCTGACGGTACCAGTTTAGAAAACTATTTTAGTATCTGTCTCACATTATTTCAGGAAACTTTACTTTTCAGTGCATTAGGTTGCTTAATGACCTTCTTTCTAGAGTTTGCAAATTTACTGTGCAACCCAGTAACACCTGCCTGCATGACTGACTGCACAGGTAGACTGCGTGTGTTTTCAAGTGCTGGCCTTGACCCATTGACCATTCACATATTTTCTTAATTCCTCTCTGAAATTTGGTAAAATAGCAGTGCTAGCACCAATCTTATTTCCACTTTCTTTTCTTTTGCTAATATTTATTGATGCAGATAAGCTCTTATCTCTTCTTTTCCCTCCTTTTTCCTCACTTTTTGCCTTTTCTTCTTCATTTTTGTACATTTTTATTCAGAAGACCTACCTTTTCCTTAAAGGTAGATTGTTTGCTCTATTGGTGCCTTTGTCATGTGGATTAAATAACTGTGCTTTGCATATTCTAAAACAAAAACTGGAAGCTGTAAATTACTAGAAGGTGGTTGCTCTAGGAGACACGGATCGTCCAGGACTCAAGGAGTGGCTCCACACCACTATTCCATGACACTTGACAGCTGTGATGCTATTCTATTGAGTCTTGTATAGCTTGAGATCCAGCTGAGCAGGAAAATGCTTCTTTTGCTGCCCCTCACCAGTCCATAGGGGCAGCTGAAGCAAGACCAGGCTCTTTCAGGTAAATAGGAAGATCTGGAGCCTGCTGGTCCAGAGACTTTGAGAGCTGTGGATATTTTCAGAGGTCTGATTTCTTGAAGAGCTAGAGCCTTAATTTCCACACACACAAAATGAGAAAGCTTGTTTCTCTTTCCCAACTCTCTGCCTGAGAGTGGAAAAATTTGGTTAATTGTTCAGTTACTCTGTGTTAACTTCTTAGATTGAGTATGATGTTGACTTACACATTTTAAGTTACTTTTTGAAATTGCATAATAAATGCTGCTGCACATGAGACAGAAAACGCTAAGATGCTGTCAGTTTGCTTTCATATTAACATTTTATTACCTATAAAGTATTTGTCAGTGTAACAAACATAATATGAAAATTTAACCATTTAAAAATCTTAGATTATTATGATGAAAAATTCAAAGATTGGTGTGTAATGAAAAATAACATAATCACCAACTCCTGTTAGAACCGTTTTATAAATTATTTCAACTCAGAAAAAAATCTGATCTTGTTTACAAAACAAAAATAAAAACCATACAGACTGGCTCATTGAAGAAAACTTACCAAATACAGTTTTGACCCCAAGGAATTATTAGCAGAACATTTTCAGACTTTTTTTTTTTTTAAACAAGGTTGCGAGTTCTCTTTTTTCTCTCTTTTGCAGGCTTACTTTGCTGATGAAAACAAGGTAAGAACATCTTTTTTCATACTATCAAATTCACGTTGTCAAAATGGGATACTAAAAAGTACCTTCTGCTTTATTTTCTCTATTATCTCGTGCATTCAAAAAAGCAACATGATGGGGAGCCTGTTTTTTCAGAAGAACTAGGACTTGCAATAGAGAAGCTAAAGGACGGATTCACACTCCAGGGACTCTGGGAAGTAATGACCTGATTTAAATTGGCATGCCTTTGTTTCCTAAGCAAGGAAAGACGCTTGGTTCTTACTGGGCTTGTGAGATCTGTAGAAGACAATTTAGAAATACCAGAGTAGCAGAGGAAGAACACGGCAAAGCTAAAGAGCAGGCAAATACTAGATAATAAGCCCTGAGGATATATCATAAAGTGAACATTATTCAAAACCCTCGTATGTGTAAAAGCTTTGTATTTATTGCAGTGTTCCTGTAAGTAGTGGAAGGACAACCGATACCGATTATAAGAAGGGGCGGGGCCCCAACTGCTGCGGGCAGTCACGTGTTGCCCAAGTCCCCAGACGTCCCGCCCTTCCCCTGGTCATACGGTGCTCTGTCCCTCAGGACCTGGAAGTCCCGCCCCACTACATGTATGGTGGCTGCCATTTTAGTTCAGCCGCCATTACCTAAAATGTCATACCCCACGTTTTCATACAGCTTTGTGATTGGCTGACTGCGGGTTTTGGCACACTTGTACCCCAGGGATTTTCAGGCGTGATTGGCAGGACCAGCCACCCCATCCTGCTTCCCCTAGAAGGCTGTCAGAGCAGGAAGCCCCCTCCCCTAACAAAGCAAGGTCGGCCATGGTGCTTCAGCCACCATTTTATGACAGGGAGCCACCATGTTTTTTACAACTTCGTGACCCATGTGTGTACATACTGCCCTGTGATTGGCTGCCAGGACCAGCCACTGCCTGCCATGTTACCTGGAAGGCTATCAGAAGAGGAAAGTTCCAGTTGAGGTAGGGCAGTGTGTGGTATATAGTTTGATGCTCAATTTAAAGTATTCATGTATTTACACACAGTGATATACTTTCTCATAATGATTATATCTACATCAAATTTCCATAACTGGTTTAATGTTGTACAACATAGAAATATCATCATATGCAGAACATTGTGTATCTAGGCATATTGGCCGTATCATTGCAGTGGTGCTGTGCTACTGATAACTTTGATAAAAAGCAATACTGTTCCAAGTATTAGTTTTCATGTCTCATAATTCTGTTAAACGTTCAGCACATCTTATTCCAGGTAGTTAATTGCAATCTAGATATCCTTATACAGTTTTTCCTTTTTTTTTTTTTTTTTTTTTTTTTTTGTTCTAGAGCCCTTTTTAAGGAATGGTCTAGAAAAAAGTGCATACACAAATAGCTTCTGTGTCTGAGTCATTAGACCTTTACAATGTGTTAGAGAGAAATGAGTCATTTATTGTTTAAAGGAAGATGCAGCTGTTAGGTTTTCTAGTGAGATAAGACCTCCGCGCTATTTTCTATAAGTGGAAAAAGTCAAATGAGCTCTCCTCTCAGCTGTTATTTCAGCAGCTGACTGTTATAGTAAAGTAACTGGTGTGAATGTAATTGCAGTGTTTGTAGACAATCTTTCAAGTAATACATTTCAATTAAATACTACCTATATTGAAAAGCAATCATGATTTTAATAAACTTTGGTTACATTATACCTTGTTGTAGATCTTCTGTTCAAATAGTTGTGTTTTGATCCTGTTTCCATTATGTTCTAAGAACATTTTACCATGTGGGTAAAAAGCATTCTCTATATGGGCAAAATACAGTCCTTCATCGAGGTACATTAAACAACTTAAAAATTCAAAATTGTTTTGGATCTGTATTACCACCTTTAATAAAAATCTAAATGTTCCCAGTCAAAACTGTGAAACCTCCAACATAGGCATATTTTTTTCTAAATTCACATTCACTTTTCAAACTACTTGTCTGATTTGGGGCTGTTATAATTTAAATTCAGATTTTTTTATTTTTTTTTTAAATTACACATCCATTAAATAATGTTAATATGGTGGATTACATGGTTTTCATTATCTGTTCTACCTTTCCTATGTACTGGTTTTGGTTTAGTTTAACAGGAGTTAACACCATTTCTAGAACAGTCAAATTTAAAAGGATTGATAATGTCTACAGATTATCTGAAGAATGGTGTTTATTAAGGGAGGGTGGAGACTTCATTTAAATTATTTTTGAAAGCAGAACTTTACCTGAATCATGTATATTTTGTGTCTAAACAGCAGAGTTTTGTTTACAAATAAATACAACCAAATGGATATTAAGATGAAGCTTAAAATGCATTTCAAAGTCTTATTATCAATATCTGAAGAATTTGCAGATGTGATATGGGTATGTAAAAAAAAAAATCTTAGAGCATATATAATTGATGCAAAGTTCTGGAGTTTTTAAATATCTCTATGATTGCAGGATTGAGATGTATTAAGCAACTCTGGAAAAGTGAACAGTAGTTGCAGCTGACAGCTTGATTAATAATATTTCTATTTCAGAATACTCAGTAACATGTATATTTACAATCTTGCTCATAGCTGTCTCCCTGAGAGTCAGATTCTGCTGTCCTTACTCATATCAAGTAATTTCTTACATTGCACGTAATCTCATTGATTCGATGTGGAGAATGATGGCAAAAGCTGACCATAGTGACTAAAAGCCACAGTTGCTTCTTTCAGTCTTTGACAGCTGCGAGAGCAACTCTTTTTTTTTTTTTCCAAACCATCCATCCTAAATTCCAACCTGTAAGAGTATGTACCTATATTTAGTTAGCGAGATTAAGTTGCAGAGGTTTCAGGCAGGGCAAAGCACATTGGTCTGCCTTTTTTACAGACAGACCTTTGGGCAGACAACAGCTAAAGCTTTCTGCTCCCTCCCCTTTCCCAAGTATTTGCGAAATGGATTCCCAAAGGGAACTCACTGAAGAGCTCAGGCTTTACCAATCCACCCTTCTTCAGGATGGCCTCAAGGAACTCCTCGAAGAGAAAAAGTTTATAGATTGCTCTCTAAAAGCTGGTGACAGAAGCCTGCCTTGCCACAGATTGATTCTGTCGGCATGTAGTCCTTATTTTCGTGAGTATTTCTTATCTGAGCAAACTGAAGAGAAAAAGAAGGAGGTAGTTCTAGATAATGTTGACCCCAACATCCTGGATATGATCGTCAAATACCTTTATTCAGCAAGTATTGATCTTAATGATTCTAACGTGCAAGATATTTTTGCTTTGGCCAGTCGCTTCCAGATCCCTTCTGTATTCACCGTGTGTGTGTCCTATCTTCAGAAGAGGCTTGCTGTTGGTAACTGTCTGGCCATCCTTCGATTAGGCGTTCTGCTTGATTGCCCGAGACTTGCATTTTCTGCCCATGATTTTGTCTCAGACCATTTTGTGCAGATCTGCAAAGAAGAGGACTTCATGCAGCTTGCCCCACATGAACTTATCTCAGTTATTTCACCTGACAGCTTAAATGTAGAGAAGGAAGAACTGGTATTTGAAGCAGTAATGAGATGGGTCCGAACAGACAAGGAGAACAGAGTAAAGAGCCTGGGGGAAATCTTTGACTGCATACGTTTTCGTCTTATGCCAGAAAAATATTTCAAAGAACATGTTGAGAAGGATGATATAATTAAAAGCAACTCAGACCTTCAGAAGAAAGTAAAGATTATTAAGGACGCTTTTGCTGGAAAACTGCCTGACTCTAGCAAAAGTACAGAAAAGTCAACCAAAGGGGAGGTGAACGGCGATGTAGGAGATGAAGATTTACTGCCTGGCTACCTAAATGACCTTCCCAGGCACGGCATGTTTGTCAAAGACCTAATTCTTCTGGTTAATGACACTGCTGCAGTAGCTTATGATCCTCTTGAAAACGAATGCTACCTAGCAGCCCTGGCAGAACAGATTCCCAGAAACCATTCCAGTATAGTCACCAAACAAAATCAGGTCTACATTGTTGGCGGACTGTACGTGGAAGAGGAGAACAAGGATCAGCCTTTCCAGTCATACTTCTTCCAGGTATAAGCTTTATAATTGTTGGTGCGATAGTAGGTGCTTACTGAAAAGTATTCCGAGTCTATGCAAATGAGTTGTCTAGTCTCTCTGTACAGTCAATGGAGAGAAGTATCTTTAGAGAGCTATTCCTGTCTCAGAGAGATAAGTGAAACCGAGGGACTTGCATCTTCTCTTTCAAGACCAAGCCCCTGGTGAGATCTCATGAAAGATTAAAAGGGTTAGCATATCTAGGCACTGGCTTTCATTGTTTAAGGCCCAGATTTTTTCATGGTACAAATGCCTAAATTTAAGCCTAATAATATTTTTGTAAAATACCTTTTGTGAATTTACATTAACTTCCATGAAAGTCAAGTGCTTAACTGCTTTAGATGTAACGAGATGTCTTTCTGGTTTTGCATCTGAAATGTTTTTATAACAGTAGCAATGTGCATATTTTAAATGCTTCTTTTGTCACTAAAATTCTAGAAGTCCTTTTGTCACATCTATATTTGAAAACCTAAGGGCATTCTAAAATACATAATTTAGAGGTAGAAGGTTGTTGTCTTGGCGAACTGTCAATGTCAGTATGCTAAATACCATGTTTCAACTGAGAGCATAATTTATATCTTTGTAAATCTGTATAAATACAAGGCTGATTAATACACGCTGTAACTTCCACAATGTATTTCAGAAAAATTAGCAAAAATATGATTTGGCATGCTTACACCATAAACTAATTCTGTTGTGTTTTTAGCTATCTGGCTACATGCTTTGGGGGATATTTAAATTATCTCATGATGAATTATGCGATGTGCCATGTCCCATTGTCAGGCACATTGGCCTAAAAGAATAAAAGTAGGTCCTGTTTCAGTATGTAATAAAGCAGAGTGATAAGCAGTGATAGAATTTGAAAGCCTTCAGATACTAAAAAATACAACTATTACGTGTCTGAAGGAGTATGGTTCACTGCGATTTCACATGTAGTGAAAGAGTTGGTTTCAGGCATTTGTTACATCTATGAAAGGGAAGTCTTAGTTTGCTAGAGAGGGATTAGCACTGTTTCATTTCCTTATGTAGGGGTAAAACACTAATCACTGAAATGCAAAACTAGTTACAGAAATATTTCTCTAGTAGAAATACCGTGTTGATGTCATAATGTACGTAATCCAGAACTGAATAGTCTAAGTCTCAGGCTACTAGAAAGTGGCCTTAGAAAAACTAAATCTCAAGATCGATACTAAAAATTGATGAAGTTTTCAGAATTCTACGTTATATGTCTACATCCATTTACTGAAATCCTGCTCTCTTGCTTGTCATCTGTAAACTTGCTTGCTGCTGCTACTGCCTATAGATAAAATACTTGTCTGTATTACCCATGTGGCCGTTGTTCCCTCTAAAACGTTAATGTGGTGACAAACCGATTTTCACTTTGTGATCTCCCTTCTCCACCAGTGAAGCACCTGTTACCATTTTATTTGGTAGCTAGCAACCCAGGAGGAAACAAGGCTGCCACTGGCTCAAAAATGCATGACTAGTTTATGCCCTATCATCTGTAGATATGTAATACAGATATTACAGAAGATGTCTGTAATCTTCAAGACTGATTCACTAAGCTTGCTGTGATCAGTGATGGGTACATCTTCTTGGTACGCCACCCACATCCAGCTACGGGGACAATCCATGTCCATGAACTAAATTTCACTATTGCAATAAAACTTCCTGTGTAATAGGGTGGTCTGTCAAATTTGGGAGATTCATTTTGGCATGGAGACCTTCAGTGTGGAACATACTTTTGGGAAAAGGGTATCACTGAGCTAAATCCAGATCTGATTACTTTGAACTTTCTCTTGCTTTCTATCAAATGCCTTTACACTCAGGCAAACTCACATTTTACCTTCCCTTCCTGTATATCGTGAAGTAAATCTATATGCAATAGAAAAGAGAAAATATTCTTTTTAAATGTCAGCATTCAGGTTCAATTGTAAGTTCTCAGATAAAAACAAAAATTAAGCACCACAGTTCTAGGAAAAGAATGTTTTATTTGTTTGGTTTTTCTTCTGTCCTCCTCCTGCTGCTGCTTCTTAGGTGTTTTCAGCATACTGGATGTGAATTGGGACAGCTGTGGGAGTACTTCAGTAGGGATGATATCAATGTTATCGCAAATGGAGCTGCACTGCCTGCCTTTTTTGCTTAGAAATGAAGTCTTTATTCATTGTGCCTTCAGAGATCTCAGGAGTTTTGAGGGTATTTGTGGTGAAACACCACCTCTTTTGCTCTAGGGACTGCAGACGAAATAGCTGTGCCATTTGCTATGTAATATTTCCTGATTGTTAAGAGGAACGATGTGAGGATGTCTGCTGGAATCTCGTAACGATGAGCACAACTGGCTAAATGTGTAGGTGTGGAATGGCTGGAGTGTCTGCTCCCTTCAAACAGGAAGAACAACTTGTTCTTTCCAACATGTGATAGAGAACCCAGAGAGTGAGGGACCCTTATACAAGGAAGAAGAACTTAATAAAGAGGCAAAGAAACTCTGTGAGGATGAGTGAGGATGAGCAGATGCAGAGAGAGCTGTGTGGCATTGACTGCTAGGTTTCAGCGCTATGAAGCATGGGTGGGTAGAAGTCACCATTCGTTAGCTGCACTGAGGGAAGGGTAGGGTGTTCAGGCAAGCAGATGAGCTGTTGAGAGACACTGAGTACAATTAGATTAATTTTGTGGAATGATGTTTGTTGTGTGGATTTTCTACTATTTGCCTTTCCTAACACTTCCTGTTCTGATGCCCTTTCAGCTGGATAGCGTCGCTGGAGAGTGGGTTGCCCTTCCTCCACTGCCATCAGCCAGGTGTCTCTTCGGGCTGGGAGAGTCAGACAACAAGATCTATGTAATTGCAGGCAAGGACCTTCGCACGGAGGAGTCTCTAGATTCAGTATTGTGCTATGATCCTGTGTATGTTTAAAATTCAGTTCTGCCCACTGAGGACATGTAAATAGCCCATTGTGAGTTGAAAACCCTAACAGTGATATTCTTCTTATTCCAGGGCAATGAAATGGGGTGAGATCAAAAAACTACCCATCAAAGTATATGGCCATGCTACTATCTCAAACAATGGATTGATATATTGTCTTGGTGGAAAAACTGATGATAAGTGAGTCTCTAAGTCTTTTCATGACAATTTGTAACGCTATTTGGTTGGTCCTTTGTAGCTTCTATGTCCTCATACTCAGAAATCAGGGTTTCCCTTTTTTACATCTCTGGATTAAGGTTGCTATTACAATTTGGCAGAGGGGACCGTATTATGGTATATAGGATATCTTTTTTGCGATAAGGTAAAATTGCATATAAATTGTAATCCCAACTAGTTACTTAATGGCCGTACTTATTTCCAAGGCAAATTGTACTGGCGTTGCAGACACATTAGTAATATATAGCTGTGAGGACCCTTACTGAAAGTATTATTTCCTTCCAGATGGAAATACTTAGATGCCATGGAATTAGTGTGTCAGTTTTTCAAATTGTCTGACCTGTGATGCCTGTCGTACCTTAATGGGTATAACATTAGGAAAACCAAAGTTTTCACTCAAACTGAGCACATAGTGGTAATTTTTCAGTGTTTGTTTTGGGGACATTTAAGACACAAGCTTGTCGCATCAGCCAAAACAGCAGCGTAATCTTTCTTTTATAACCTTTGTCATACATTCCTCCACAAACCCATGTGAATAGAGTATGCGGGGAAAGGACGTTGCCTTTCTCCTGTAAGGTACAGGGAAATTGCTGCCCTGCATAAGCGGCATTAAAGATTGAATTTAGTTCTATGGATGTGATCAGTGCTTTGTAGGCGTGCAAAGATTCCTGGATAAGATACAAGAAGGGATCTCGTGGAGAGGAGAGAGGTGTTATACATAAGCCCACACAATCCATATCAACTAGGTCTCACTGGAAACAAGCCAAAAGCTCCTTCGAAATGATCACAGGTTTTCTTTTCTTCCTCAGGAAATGCACCAATAGACTATTTGTATACAATCCCAAGAAAGGAGACTGGAGAGACCTGGCTCCAATGAAAGTGGCTCGCTCGATGTTTGGCACGGCTGTCCATAAGGGCAAGATTGTCATTGCAGGTGGTGTCACTGAAGAAGGCCTTACTGCATCTGTTGAAGCTTTTGATCTGACCACCAATAAGTGAGTGCAACATTCAAGCTATTTTTAAGCAAGTGTTTTATCATCTAGCCTTTTAGGAACTCTTGAGATAGGCACCTGGACACCTTTGTGAATCCTGTCCTCCCACTGAGACAGTTGGTCTGCATTCACATCTTTAGCAGCAGCTTAAAGAGCCGGCATCTCTGGGTGTTTTTCCTGCTCCCACACGCATTTTCTATGCTGGCATAGCTGCATAGCAAACACAATCACAGAGCTCATGTAGCAAAAATAACTCGCCCTCTAATCTTTTTTTTTTTCAAGTCTGATTACTTCCCCAATTTAGTTGGCCACATAAACAGGTGCACTGGCATAATAGGGGGGAAGTGGGAGAGATGGGGCAAGGGCTGCACAGTCTAGTTGAAACTGCACTGGCACTAAACCTGGAACCCCAGCAAGAGAAATCGGGTGCCTGAACAGGACAGGCTGAATGTCCTTCGGGTACATGGTGGTGAGCAAACACGATCACAGAGCTCATGTAGCAAAAATAACTTGCCCTCTAATCTTTTTTTTTCAAGTCTGATTACTTCCCCAATTTAGTTGGCCACATAAACAGGTGCACTGGCATAATAGGGGGGAAGTGGGAGAGATGGGGCAAGGGCTGCACAGTCTAGTTGAAACTGCACTGGCACTAAACCTGGAACCCCAGCAAGAGAAATCGGGTGCCTGAACAGGACAGGCTGAATGTCCTTCGGGTACATGGTGGTGTGTCTTGCTGTTGGCTCACCTTGTCACAGCAAATACCATTCACTGCTAGTTAGTGGCAGGCAGATAATTCTGCTGAGTTATTTAGTATGAAAATTCCAGGAGGACTTTAAATTTTAAGTGCATGCTCTGAAATACTATAAAGAATAATAATGACAAAAGAGAGTAAGTCATACCTGGCATTAGCTTGCTTATTTGGTCCAGATACTTTCCAGTGTTCTTCCTTACAGCAGAATCTTTTGCAGTCAGCATCCCTCCAATGTTTATTTTCATTTTTCAAACTTTCATTTAAAATAATACCAGTAAAGCTTTATTATAATAGCTTAAACTTGTAAGTGGTCCTGGATGCATCTTTGTTTTATTGATAAGCACTTCTATTGAATATAAACACATTTGGCTGTGCTGCCTTCACTGACAGGTGGCATTGCAGCCACCAGCCTCACAACAAAAGCTTTAACTTAAACGTATGCTATCCTAAAGAGACTCGCTTGTAAAATTCAACAATACAAAATGTGAATTATGCAAGAAGTAATTCTATGAGGGAACTTTGGACTTTACACCTTTTATAGAAAGCAAAGGAAAGTAAAGGTCATTTTGATACCGTTACGTTTGGCACATTCTTCTCTTCCATTGTTCAGAAAGACATGCAGCTTGTGGTCTGAAAAATCTGCAGGTTCTTGTCTTGGTGTACTCTGTTCTATTACAGTCAAGTCACAGAAGCAAGAGAGACAAATAAGCCTATTAGTTTTGATGTTGACATTATAGAGAAGTGGGATGTTCGTAGGTGTGAATTGGCAGAAAATATGAAATTATGCTAATAGGCCCCAGTGACCTTTTTTTTAATCTCAAATTATTATGTCAACACCACTTGAAATGAACAAGCATTTTGGAAATGATAGGGAAAAAATTAGAGTAGCTGGAGAACAATACATCTGTAAAAAGGATATTACTGATGATGGGACTGGGCTACCTGTAAAGAAGTGGTCTCCGGGAAGAAATGTCATCACAGTGTAATGCTGTCACTTCAGACTTGCAGGAAGTCTGTGAGGATGGAAACACTGAAACTCACTGCTGATAAATGTCAGAACTTTTTCCTTTTACTAAACCATTCACTCAAGAGGTCCTTGATAATGGAATTTATATCACCCAGAAGTGTATTTTAATGCATTCAGATTAGAATATTTCTCATATGTTTAATGTAGGTTTTTCTTTTCATCTTTAGGTGGGAGATTATGCCTGAATTTCCTCAAGAGAGAAGTTCCATCAGTTTAGTCACCTTAAGCGGAGCTTTGTATGCTATCGGAGGCTTTGCAATGATTCAGCTTGCATCTAAAGAATTTGCACCCAGTGAAGTTACTGACATATGGAAGTAAGTTTAATTTTAATCACACTTTCCTGGTGGAAAGCCATATCTAAAATTGAGGTTTGTAGACACTGGAGGGTAAAATTAGTTTTCTGTTTATGTCTGGAAATGAACCCTAGCACAGGTTGTAAAGCACTTGTTGACAGAAGTGTTTGTCAGAAAGTAACAAATAAACATGAGACTTGGATCTAATGACTACTTCCACCTACTAATAATTTGAACAGTTTGAGTCATGATCTCCAGCCTGTTTTACACTTTTAAAGAGTAAGTTGCCATATCTCTTGGCAGGTTTAGCTTTGTAAGTGTACCATAGAAACATTCTCTGTTCCATGACATTCTTACACAGAGGTTTGTACGTATTCACATGTTAATAGTCAAATGAGTAATTGTTCTGAGAGAATCAGAAATCCCTATCTCCTAGATTATTTTTTTTTTTACACATCTAAATCCCAACAGCAGTGGTGAAACATCATATCTCTGCTGTGACCCTTCCGTTACTAAGGTAAATTCAGGAGTTTTAACTGGCAGAAGGATAGGAAGGGTTCCTAGAGAAACTACCTTTGTATGTAAGAATCTGAAGGAATTCGGAAGAG